TTTGTTAATGATTGCATTGCTTTTCTTGTGGCTTGGATCATATTTTTGCTACAATCCATAAAACTGAATTTTAATGCATACAGCAAAGTTTGTACTATTAATAACAGAGCAATAAACTGTAATTTTGGAAAAGTAGTATAGTATGATTAGTATAAAGGAAGGATATAAAACAGAAGTCCACAAAATCCACACAACCTAGAATTTATGGTTGTGTAAATTTCAGGTCATAAATGAAAAATCATTAGCGAGGCTAAAAATAATCAGAATAAATAAAAACAAATTCATAAAATGCATATAAAAGTGATTAATTTCATTTTATAGAAAATTGTGTATTAAATGTATTTTAATTCTATATGAAAAATAATTAAAAGAATCATATAAAATTATTTTCTTGTTTTTTCAAACATCTGTGTATAGTTTTAAAACTGCTTTGAAAACTTAAGGCTGTTCTAGTTTATCCCCCTTTCTCTCCAAATTATATGCATTCTTTATTTCAGTACGTTTTTTCACTATTTGAAGTTGCTATACTAATAATATGATGAAAAAGTACTGTTTTTCTTCTGTTTGTAATAAAAATTTTAAATTTCTGTTTTTTTTTTTTTTTTTTTTTTTTAAAATCAAAGCAAGCAGTTGTCATCAAGTAGAAATGCTGTTGTAAATATACCCTGACCTTTTCAAGCCAAGCTGTTTTAATGGTCAGTACTATGTAATAACACTACTGAATGAGAAGTATAACATGTTGTGCAAGGGAAGAATAAGTACATTAGAAATTATTTCTCCTATTAAAAGTTTTCATTTGATATTGCACTTCTGAGTAATATTAGCAGTATTTACTAAATGTTGTAAGAAAAAAGAATTTCTTTTCTGACATCCTTTTCTTAATTTCTGTTAATTATTTGAAGTTGTATTTAATTGTTACTTGGAAAAGTTTAAGAATATTCTTTTCAGCTATGGTGGAGGATCTAACTTTTGGGGTGGAACAAAAGAAGATGATGTGAGCATTCTTACATTGTTACTTTTTATTAGTCAAGTAACATTTTTCTGCTTTTTTAAATTATTTATTTTGTAATTTAAAAGCTTTATCACAAATTTTATTTAAAACACTAATAAGTAAGGTTTTTTATGTGCCTGACAATAAGTTGCTTTCTATAGTTTTATAAATCGTAAGTTAGTTTTGCTTCATTTAGTTTATATTTTTTTTTTATTAAATTAAGTTTAAAAACCGCTTAATTGCTTGTGGTCATTTAAATAAGAAATAATAATTCTTTAGTTTCAGCTTAAGTATTCTGTCATTCATTTACTAGTACATGAAATCATAGAATTGGGGTTTGTCTAATTTTGGAAAACTGTACAATTTTAAAAAAAAAATACCTTTACTTCTGTTATTTACTGAAACATTTTTTTAATAATTTTTTTTTAAGTTTTTGATTTATTAATAATAAAATGTTAATATTTTGCATTTGGTTTTTCAAGAGGATTTTTGCAAAGAAATGATTTTAGATTATCAATAACACACAAGAAAATGCTATGTCATGAAACTTTTATTATTATACTTAAAACTCAAAATGACTTTTATCCTTCAATTGAATTCAATTCCATTGATTAACACACACATAGACACATTATATAATTTATATAGTCACTTATTACTTTTTTCTATTTCACATTTTTTCCAAAATTAGAGTGATACTCAGATGTTTTTCTCAATATATTCAACTTCTTAATTGCATTACAAAGTACAATACACAAAAAATATAGTGCATAATGAGTTATAAAATCATTGCCACGGGATCAATGCAAATATCATAATAAAACTAAAACGATATATATAATAGAAATGAAACAAAGAAAAAAAGTTTTCTCAGAAGATTCAGCAATGTTTGCAATTAATACACATGTGTGGCTCTGCTATACAAACTGGCAACAATATTCTTCTACATTTTGTAACACTCTCATTGTTGAAATTAATATTTCAAAACTGCCAATACATAGAATGTAAATATAAATGCACAATAAAATATTAATAATAACAAATTATAATACTGCAGAACCCTATACAGCACAGATTTTTAGCAGTTGCTAGCTAATAACTGCTGAATTTGGCAACAAATAAGTGTTTATAATATGGATATACAAAATCATTCTACATTAGTTCCAGTAAGAGTTAGAATTATCATATATTATTCTAGCACATTTTCTTCTGAAGAAAAATACATTTGAGGCTTGCAATAAAAAATTGGTTAGATTGATTTGTTACAAAGTCTTAAGCGTTTTTTTTTTCCCTCATACATACATACATACATACACTATGATGTAGATTTTAATCAAAATTCCCTTGTGTTAATTCTTAAATTTAGCAGCAAGTGTGCCGCAGAAATTAACACCAGTGATGTTAACTGCCATTAACTGTTAAACTGGGATGTGTTTATTCTTAAAACATGTCATACATTCATAGATGATTTTTATACAGTTGTCATACTTGATGTAAGGAAGATTGTATTCCTAAATGAAAATGCTTCAGATTAATAGTAGTTGAATTATGTTTACCTAGTAAAACAATAGTATCTTTACTATTAGCACATGGTTTGGAATGGGACAATTGTCCACCCACTCTAATTAGTCCCATGTCATCAAGGAAAACATTCAGTACACTAGTTTGCTCTTGGGATGAACACACTTATTCCTTTTTAGTTGTTTTCTTTCTCCCAACTCCTTGTTCTGGGACTGCAATATAGCAACATGACATTACGATGTAAAAAACTTGCATAAATTTGCTCTTGTTTACATAGTCCTAGTTGTCATAGTCAGCTTCAGGATTCAAAACAAATCTAGGAACTGTAATCTGACTTAGATGAGGGCATTCACAACATTTCTTTCCCCATTCTGGAGTGATAGTTGTAGGTAGTTCATTATCCTTGTCAATTTTTGAACCCAAAGCTCTTGTAGTAAAAATTTCAGTCTAACAGTGAATGGAATAATTACTCAAAGGGTCAAAAATTTTCCCTGCAGTTTTCAAGGTATTTTGTTTATTTTTAAGAAATGTTGTCAAACGAGTTAAGTCTATGATCAGCCTGTCTTAATTAGTATCCCAGGACAATCCTATGACCTTAAGTGTCTTGTTTGAGTCATCAATGTGGATGGATTTCAAACCCTTTTTTCTTCCCATCTTTTATTGGTTCAGAATCATTAGGTACCCATTTGCGCAAGCTCATAATTACTTCACTCATAATTTGTTTTGCTTTAAACTATAAGCTTAGAACCTCCTTTACACTGTCCTGCCCTGTAACAAACTCGTCAATATAAACACAAGAAATCAGCATTTTAAATACATCTGGCTGCTTATCTCAATATTTTTCTATATATTGTTTAATTCTTGCAGACAACAATAACAGACAAATCTTAACTGCAGAATTAAATACTGAAATCTGTATATCATTAATTTTAGTTCATATAATTGTGTGTTTTCCACAAATAGGGTAATGAAAAAGCAATTTTAGCTAATCTGAAGTTAATTAGCAAAGGGAACATGTTATGGTTTAAATTTCTCCCTGTCCACAGACAATCATTTAGTGTTAATTGTCCCACCTCATGTGAACCATTTAGTCACTCTTCAAGTTTTCACTGATGCACTAGTTTCTTTAAATATCGGTTGATATGATAAGTTTAATACTGTGTAAGTTTAATAAACTATGTATCCAAGTGCACTTTTTGTAATATCAAACCTGTGTGAGGAATGTAGATTTTGACAGATTGCAACATATTGTAGAAAACTTCCACACTGAGCAGCAAATTTTATTATCTCTAGCTTATAAAATTTAGGATTCACTAAATTTACCATCTCAGGAATCATAAGGTTTCTAACATCAATAACTAAAATAAACATGCTATTTTTAGAATTACCAAAATTTTTAATTTCTTTTATATGCCTGTTCCCAATTACAAATAAGAGCAACTGTTTTCTTTTTATTGTAGTTGAAATACTTCATATGCTGCAGAACAAAATGTTTGTCTTTTTGCTTTTTAAAGTAAGCATGTCAGCTAATTCAGTCGTATAAAAGCAAGACACACTTCCACTGTCACATAATGCCTTCACTGTAATTAAAATTTCTTCATTAATCTCAATAAATACAGGCAGTTGATAAAATTACGTGTTTCCCACTGTTAGTAACTGTAACTAGTGTAAAAGTTTCTTTTTTTTTTTTATTTTTAGCTTGAAATGCAGTCACATGTACATTTAATCTATATCTGTTTTGATATAGATTAAATGTACATGTGACTGCATTTCTGTTGATCTTTAACAGAAATTTTGACTGTTTGATCTTTAACTCCTATGGTAAATTTGCTATTTCTCCTGAAGCACTGTTGGAATTATTTTTGCTTTGATAATATAAGAAAAAGCTATGTTTTTTCTTACATTTGTTTCACAAGTTATTTTAAGGAGAGTTTTTCGCACTGTGCAAATTAAAACACAATATTAAAGTGATGTTTCCAGAAGGCCCTACATGTTAATTGCATGGAATATGTTACCTCAAAATGCTTTCGAAAATTATATGCTGCCAACTTGAATGTTCGTAACTTGAGACACTCTTCATTTCCGTTGCATTTTTTTGTTCAGATAATTTATTCATAAACTGAATTTTTCATAACGTGAGGCATTTCAGATTTGAGGTTCCACTATGTATTGAAAATAAAAGGGCTACTGAAAATAAAAATTTCTCCTTTTTTTAATATTTTTTATTTTTACATTTCCCCCTTCTCCTTAAGATTATACAAATTTATGGTCATTTGCTGCTATCATTATTTAGTTTTTGTTACTGTATGATGTTAATATTTGCTTCAGCATTCACACTTTTGCAATTTCATTGTGATTATTTTGTTTGTCTTTCAATTTTTAAAACATTTTTCATTCAGTTAGTAGTGCAGTTAATACTCCCATAAGCTGGTGATTTCTTTGTCTTTTGATTTGATCATAAAAACGTTCAGGAGTATATATTTCTGAAGGCTATTCCAACCCTCTTATGTTAATTTTTTTATGATTAATTTTTATGTTAGGTATTAGCAGATAGCAGTTTCATTTAAAATTCTTTTAACAAACATGAAATGAAATAAAAGCAAGTTAAAAAAAAGGGGTTCTTATTTTCCAAAAAAAATTATATAACGTTGGATCAGATTTCAAAAATTAAGAAAGAATTTTTTGCAAAATATGTAAAAATAAAATTCTTCAAAGTTTATGAAAATGCTTTAATTTAATAATCTATAATTTGAAATGAAGTTAATAAAAATGCAATAGATAATTATTCCAATCACTGAGTGTATGGAAATGTTACTGTCCTAATATGTGTACTAACCAGAATTGATGTCTTTCCTCAGTAACTTCCTAAATGCTTTATATTACCATTAGATTTTTTATTCATGTCTTTATATATTTTGTTTTTTTACACACAGTATCAATTAACAGGTATTTTATGCTCCCGCTTTTGATGATAAAATATTAGAAGTAGTTGCTGTGTTTGGTACTGTCCAAATGGCTGCTTCAAGAGTAATAAATTTGCAACATCATAGAATAGCTCAGGTAGATTTTTTATTATCACTGTAAATTTGTTATTTGTGTGTAGTTGTTAATGTAGAATGTTTAAGCTTAATTTGTGGGGGAAAATATGAATTTAATGCTTCAAGAATGTGTCCTTTTCTTATATAAATTTATAACTGTTATTTCAGAATTCAAACATTGTATTTTACTGGCAGTTTTTGTACATGATAGGTGCTTATTAATGCAGGAAGATTTGTAAAATGGAAATTTATAATCAGTTATGAAACAAGTTTTTTCTCTTTTCTGAACTGAATTAACTTGAAACATCTTTATTCCTCCTTAAACTTTGAACATAAATATGTGTATAGCTCAAAACTTTTAACAGAATAGGATAAAAGAAATAAATTTGTGGGTGTTACTTTTAAAAAACTGCAAGTGCAGTTTTGACAGAACTTAGTATTTAATTATTATTTAAAGTCTGTAATCTAAATATAGGAGAAAAAGTCAATATCTAATTTCAGAAAAAATTCCATGTCAAAAAATTTATGTGGAATGCCATAGACCTTATCCACAAAATTACTTATGTGGCTTTTGTTTTGCAGCCATTGGTAATAAACATATAATTCTAGTTATAAAAATGTTTTAAGTGATGCAAATATTCATGTTTTGGCATTTTTTAATTTACTAAATTTAGCTTTTACAGTGTTTTGATCCTAATAATCATATTTAAAGAAAAAAATTTGCCAAGATATTTAACCTAAAATTTTGAGATTGTATTTAGGAGTCGTTATACAAATGGAAGGACAAAAAAACAGGAACTATTTGCCATTTTATACTTAATTAAAAAATGATGGAAAATCTCAATTGAGAAAAGAGTTCTGATAATAGAGATTACTTTTAGATGAGGCATTGCCACTGAAAAGTATTGCTCAGTATAATTTTTTCAATAAACATGTTCTCACAGACTCTTAAAGAATTTGTGTTTCAGAAAACAGTGGCAGGCTTTACTGTTGTCTTGTTCGTTTTAAGTCAATGTTTAAGTCAATTCATAAACAGTTATATGCTTAAAATAAAAAAAAAATAAAAAAATGTTTCTGATTTTATTGGAAAATTTTTTCTATGAATGCTTAGAATTATTATTTTCTAAAAGTAATAAAAAAAACAAATAATAAAAAACTAATGAGAATACTAATAACACATTTCTAGCATTTGTACAATTTGAAAATTAGGTGGTATATTAAAAATATTTTTGCATATTTTAGGTTAAAATATAATATATTAATATATATATTAACATTTAAAGCATGTTACATTACTTTATATAATTCACACACTAACTTACACACTTTAACTTTTTATTCGCTCTTACTTTTATGCATTGTTTTTAAAATGATTATAAGCATTTCTTAACTATAACTATAGAAATTGGGAAAGCCTCTGTAAAAAGTTATTAGATTTCGTGTATTTTTACAAAGCTGATTTTTTAATTTAAAAAAAACTAAAATATGACTATCATTTAAAACAATTTTATAACTGAAAGTATGTGTCTCAGTTAATAATTACAAACATAAAAGCTGCACAAGGACTTTTCTGTACATGGTGTATATAAATTGAACATATATCCAAAATCAGGCATATAAAACATGAATAGCTGAAGTTTAAGGTAGTTAGTTGATCAGTCAATTAGAATGAAACATAGAACAGCCTTCCCCCTTCTTTTCACACACTTTAATAAAATAATTAATGGTATCCATCTAATTTGACTGATTACCTTTGTGGGTTTTGCTCTAAATTAATTAACCCTTTGAAAGTTTCATTTTTTTGCAGAATTCGGTCAAAAAAATGTCACATTTTTCTATTGCATTTTTTTGTTCATTTTACATTTTTAAGTAAAGATGTGTTATTAAAATTAACATTTCTAATATTTATAAGCATTTATTACAACTTTTTTTCTTTAATGAAAAATAATCAATTTTCCTGCAAGTTGTTGGTTTTTTTCTGCTACTTAAATGCAAAAACAGGGGAAAAGTAGTTTACATTTTACAATTAAAATAGCTAACCAATTCCTTAACAAGATAATTTTCGATTTGACAGTCAGGTTATATTTAACTATTATGTTTTGATACCAAACCAATAATTTACCCTTCTTTTTTAAAGGTCTGATTAGTGTGAAGATTCTTAAAAGGCAAGGCGACAGGCCAGTCCAACATCACAGTCTGGGCAAAATACCTTGCCTCTTTTTCTAATCTTTGCCATTGGCTTTTTGTTCAATGAACACACATAACACGGTCTGCGGGTCGTATTTTGGGTCGCTGTAGGTGGAATAACCCCTAAAATGTCTTGTTAGTCTTAGTGAGTTGGTAAATATCCGGACGGCCTTTTTCTTTCTTCTGCGCATGCCTTTCAATTAGTTGGTCGATAATATCTAATCGAAACTGTAAATTTTCATCTTTACCACCATGTGTCTTGTGCAGCACATAAGCCTTCCATAAATTGATGTCTAGAAGAAGAAAAAATATTTTTTTGTAGTATTTCATCCCCTCTTTTTTTAATCACAGGATAAGTATTTAGGTTCTGGTCCATTCGATCTACTCCACCCATTGTATTGTTGTACTCCACAAGTAGCCTCGGTTTTCGCTTTATATCATTCTTGGATGTGGATACTTGAACCATTCTGGATTATATACTGTAGATATAAGCGACACGGCTTTTTCGTCCATCCATTTTCATAATGCACACTTTTCCTCTCTGGTAAGTTACCATTTGCCCTTTTAGAAGTTTTTCTTTAAACAATGCTTTAGGAACTTCCTTTCTTTGAAGTTTTAATTGTTCCCGAACACATCTGACAGTAACTAATGAGATATCTGCTATTTCAGGAGATAATAAAGTTTCAGTTTCAAGTTTAAGTAAAAGTTTCATAATTAATAAAACTACCTGCGAAGATTTGCTTCAAAATGTTTGTAACTTTTTCAAAATTCATCAAACACAGTTCCTTTTCCGTGTAGATTATCATAGACATACATATCCAGACTCGACTCACAAATCATGTACAATTTATTCTGAATCATGCGCTTTAGAGGAATATACTGGTTCCAACTTAGCCTCCTTGAACAACATTAAGACATGGTGCCACGCACCTACCGGGAAAAACCGAAAAAGTCAGGGAATCAGAAATTGACATTCGGCAGCTGGCATAGAGCCAATTTTCGCAAGCTCCAATTGATTGTCTTTTAGAAAGGCAATCAAGTTTCTGCAACTTTGGTTTTTCAGTAACCCTCTAATTCGATGTGCAGTGCTGAACTAAAGAAAGTACCCCTGTCTCATATAAAGCAAATAAACAAACGCTTGAAACCGGTGGGTCGAAGTTCGAAGGTCACGTTATCAAGAGTCATAAAAGATTCGTTTAAAATTTTAAAGCACTAAAAGTTTTTTTTTTTTTGTATCAATAAATTAAATTCATGTTAGTTAAAAAAAATTTTTTTTTGATGGTTTGTAAATCTCAAAATCCGTTTTTAAAATTATTTGCGAAAAATCCAAGAAATTTTTTTTTTTTTTGATAAAACGTTGCTTCTTGGTTTCCACAATAATTAAAAACGGATTTTGCGTGTGAGTTTCTTTTTTGGCAAGAACGTTTCTTCTCAACACGTTTCCTCAATTTCCTGTACACATCGCGGAGAGGGAAATTCTGGGCCCGCCGTCCGTCGTCAAATCCCTTGGCAAATTTTCCCTCCGCTTTTTACTTAGACGTCTTTGGTCAGAACATCTTCATGTAGGTACATGCGGATTTGGCGACATGAGATGAGCAGTAAACGGGTCCTTTTTGTTCTTGGCAACAGTTTCAAAAACAGCTAAGGCCGTACGTATACTAGATTTTACCGCATTTTTTTTTTTTTTTTTTTTTTTTTTTAATGTAATAGAACTATATTCGCTAAAAATCGTTGATTATTCTAATTAAATTTTTCAGTAATTATCTTATTTTATTATATCATTAATTTTCTTCTTCCCCTCTAAATTTTTATCATTAGAAATAATTTTCCAAATTTCAGGAAATTTTTTCTGGCATAATCCTGAAATTAATTATCTGCATTGATGACATCCCCCACATTAATGCACATATTTTTTCCTTATGTATGCGCGAAAAAATAAAAATAAACCTATTTATAAAAAAAAAAATCATTAAATAGATTTCTTTCTTTCTTTCGTTTTGCAGAATGCGCAAAAACTCCTTTTTATTTCCAGATTGGGCAATTCTAATCTAATCTTCAGTGGAGAAAACAATCCCTTATAATTATATTTGTGTTTTTAAGTTTAAGGTGCTTTTCAGAAGGACACCTCACACAATAATGTACCCTAAAATAACCAAACTTTTAATTGCGTTGGATTATAAGAACCGGATAGCCTTATGTTGAACTGGGATGATCATGAGTAATAATTAAATAACATACGTTGTTACCAATGTAATATCTTAAATTTTATTAAGTTTCTTAATGGAAAAGAAACAAAATTATCAAAGTGTACAAGAATAATAAGAATAATGTCCTGGATTATTGAATAATAGTGAATTTGCTACACAGACAAGTAATACAGTCATTAATTAACCTCTTGCCAGCCAACTTACATTACGTGTATAGAACTGGAATTTTTTCTCTGAAACTACTGGAAACCCTGGAAAGTCGGGGAATTCATTCGCCTGTTTGATTGGCAACCTGATAGACTCTCAGCGATGGAAAGCACTTCAGGGTACATTCTGGAATGAGGGGTAAATGCTTAGCACGGCAATATGTTGCTATTTGGCACTCAAATTTTATGCAAATTGAAATCTCTGAAAATGCAATAATGTAAATTAATTGAAGCGGCGATGAACTCACTTTTGGAAAAAATGGTGTGGATGTGAACTCCTCTTGCTCCATACGCTCAACAATGTTTTTTACAATCCTTGCAGAATATTCAAGCAAAAAATACATGTTTCATCTTTCGATGTTGTGTCCATTTTTGCTCCGGAAATGCCTACGAAGCAACCGTTTTTTATGCTTGTGCTCAGATATCTAGTGTTTCAAAACAATAGGCAACAATAATTGCTATGAAGCATCTGGAACTGACTTCCTTATTCTCATTATATCCAGTTAATTTTTTGGAATTCATGAAAGCAATCTGGAGGGAGACCGAAGATATCGCAACTATTCAAAAATTGTCTTGCTTGACGATTCCATCGTACTACTTCAGAGTCACTACTATCCGTTCATCTAGTAACTTTCAAACGATATTTACAGATTAAGTTTTGATTCCGATCACAGAAATTAGCTCCATACGCTCATTACCATTTTTAAAAAGTAAAATATTGATTTAACTTTTACATCAATAAAATTATCAGGTGGTTAGTAAAATATAACCAGAAAGCTATACACTGAAAGATAACAATTTGTCTTCTGATACAAAACATGCAAAAAAATCCGCGCTTTTGAACCAATCAGACAATAAACTGCAAACTATCATTTACTGGACATCTATCACCATCTACACGAATAATTTATTACTAAAGTTGGAAAAATACAGCCGAAACAGTGCAAGCGAAATCGTACGGACAAATCAGTAAAGGCCCGAAACGGGCAAAGCAGGGAAGGAGTTAATCAAGTGAGTGAAGTTAATCAAAAAATCATCACTTTCTTTACAAGAAGCTGGTTACTGTATTTTATATACTGATAGTTTTTGAATAAAAAGCATTTTTACAATTTAAAGAATGTTACTGAAGAAAAAAAAACTGAAAGGTATTTTTAAAATGTTCTATATTATGTAAATATATGTTGGCATTAAATTTTTAATATATAATGATCAGTTGATTATAATGTTTTGTGGTCTTGATTTCATAGTGTAGATCTGTAAAGATCATCATAATGGGAGATGAAGGTGTTCCTGTTCAAGTAGATGGTGAAGCTTGGATCCAGCCTCCTGGTTACATTTGTATTGTACATAAAAACAGAACACAGGTTCTCTGTAGAAACAGGGTATGTTATTAAGACCTCACTGTTTTTTTAAATTATAATAATATGATAAACAATTCTTATATTTCTTTTTGAGTTTTGCACTAAAATCTGTGGTTTATTATACTTATTTGAGTCTGGAAAAGAAAGAAAAACTGGCTTAGAAAAAAAGAAAACGAATTCTTGTATAAAAGATCACAATGTATGCAAATTTTATACAAGTTAAACTACAATCAGGGCAGATTCTGCTTGGATGGGGTGTAAATCTGTTGACTTTTTTTAGTTAATCGCAAAAAGAATACTTCCATTAAAAATATAGTCCTTTTTTTTTTATTATTTTTTTAAGAGATCTTATTTTTAAAAGTAAATGATGAAGTTTGCACTATTCATGTAAACGTCATGTATAATGAAAACAAATTTCAACATTTTTGCTTTTCTATGGTTGCAAATTAATTCGAATCTTTGCCTTTATTTTTGCAAATATGAAACAGAGGTACAAAAGACAACTGACAACAAAATCCACGATGACATAGAACTTTACCATCTTTCGATATAAAATTTCCTCTTTCCAATGATAACTCTCATGTGACACCCCTTGCCCTGCGGCACATGATTCCAAATGTTTTGGCAGAATGCCAACCAAGACTGCATTTGTCACAGTTGAACTATACATATAACTATTTTAATATTTAACAAATATTCTCTATTCGTATAAAGATAATATTAAATTAAATTTTAATTAAGAAATTTAAATGCAAAAAAAAAAAAAAAAAAAAAAAAAAAAAAAAAAAAAAAAAAAAAAAAAAAAAAAAAAAAAAACAAAAAATAATAATAATAATAATTACTGCTGCGAACTAATTCACAATATCATTTAAATTCAAAAATCATATGTAAATTAAGTATACATATCTAAAACCATGAAAAAACATATTATTCCAAAAAATTGAATTTTTTATTCCAAAAAATAATTGCACTAAGTGAATAATTGTTGAACGGGCAGGAGACAGACTCATCAAGGAAAAGTTGCCTCCAAACCTAATTCTTCAATTGCTCAATTCATGTTTCTTCATCCATATAGACAAATGTAAAATGCAAAACCAAAAGTAAAACCAATTGTTGTGAATTACTAAAAAAGAAATTCTGTGGAATTTTGAGAAAAAAGCAGGTAAAAGATAAACGATATGCTGCAGCAGCAAACTATTTCGGTAGGTATTAAGATAAGCTATTAAATTTTTAATCTAAATAATGAAAACCAAACCGTATTTAAAATTATTTACAAGTACAAACCACTTGCAATAATTAATACCATATAATTATTGTAGGTGATTTGTATTCTTGAAAATATTTGTAAACATTCTATAACAAAATGAATATTATTGATATTGCATTAGATCTCATATAAAAATTTTGAAGTTTCCATGTACTAGTACTCCCTATAATACTATATGCACATAACAGACATCAATCTTCTCAGCACTATGTTTTTTAAAGAATATTTTGTAAACTTTTTAGCAACTTGAAACATCTATGAAAATGTTGCATGAAAAAAGGAACCCAAACCGCTGCATGCAAGTAGGTCCTTTAAGTGATGAAGAAATTCAACTTGTAGCTCCCTTTGCTGAAGCAGTTTTAAGTCTTATTAGAAGGTGAGGAAAATTGTGCATATTTAATACAGTTTAATGTGTTTTATGTATTCAAGTGTCACAAGAATAATGTATGCTCTAATTATTTTAATTTTATGACTGAATTATAATTTCTCTAAAATGTTACAAAATATTTGTTTTATAGGCATGTTAATATTGTTTTCATAATGATGCAAGTGAATGTAATCTGTGTCATCTAATTCTGAAAATATGCATGTAACAAGAACTATGTGAACAATGTTACCGTTAATGATAATATAAATTTTGTTAATCTTCCCATGAGCTACAAAAAACTATCGTCATCAGTTAGCCTTCTCTGATACATTTGAATATATTATACTAAAAATAATTTTTAGCTTGAAATTTTAAAAAAATCCTAGCAGTAAAGATTGTGTTTTTAATAGTTTTAATCTGATAAAACTTATATTTTTTTGTTAGTTAAGATTGTCGTGTATTTATTATTCTTATTTCAAATTAAGAATGCTTATTTTATTTTGTCTGATAAAGTGCCATGTTTTATCAATTATGTTGTTGGTCACTCAAAGCAGGTTTCATTGCAATTTACATAGTTCTTAAATACAGAGGATGTTCGCAAATTTTTTTAATGAACAAAACCTTAGAATTTTATTTCCTAATATATTCAATAGGATAGCTCTTTGATTGAACTATCATATTACGTCTTAATTCCAAGATAAAGTCCTTACCTTAAAACACCAAGATTGATTTTATTGCACTCCTCTTTCATGATCTTCCAGAGTCCATCCAATGTTTTGGGATTCTGCTTATAAAGAGCTTGTTTTAAAAGTCCAGATGCACAGGAATCCATAGGAGCCTAATTGGGTGGGGGACTTGGGTGGGATGCATTTAAAGTCAGTAGGTTCAATTCCGGTTTCATTTCTCATTTTTTCAAAAAAATAGACCAGTAGATTTAGAGGTATGGCTTAGAGATGATGGAACTTTGATGATGGAAGATTGTTTGGATAAAGAGATGAAATTTCTTCATTTAAAAATAGGTTTTAAAGCATATTTCTGATAGTAATCCGAATGAATTTTGACATTTTGTTCAACTTTCCTTATTTTAATTTTTCTGTTACAAGAGAATTCAGTAGTAACCATAAAACCTTTAGAACAACTTTCCTTTTTTTCTCTGAACCAACATGTGAAATTTTTTTCTCCTCTTTTTCGATATTAAGTCGATCTTTTTCTATAGTAATCAGGTACGTATATCCAAGCCTCATCAATTGTAACTATATATTTCCATTTTTCACCTGCCAAATAATTTTCATACAGCAATCTGCACATAGTCTTACACTGAGAAACATGTTTCGACATTAGGCGATGAACATCATGTTTTTTTGTTTTCATTAGCTTTAAATCAGATTTTATAATTTGTTCACAGTTTCTCTGCTTTATTATTCATTATGTCACTTATTTTAAGTATTAAAACCATACTTTTCATATCTTTTTATAATAATTCAATAAGAGTATTTCTCTTCTTTCGGACAGTACAAAAATATACCCTTCGATCCATTGTTTATTTTTCAGGAACATTTTAAAGAAAAGAATGTTTTTAATGCTGCAGATGATAATTAAACCTTGTTCAAATTTGATGCAAGTCACATTTTTATTTAAAAATTAATATTTAAATTCATGGAGAAAATCTAAGCCATTACAAAAATGTGTGAACACCCTCTGTATTTATATTTTATTCAATGGCACAACTTTTTAATAAAATATAAATACAGAGGGTGTTCACACATTTTTAATTTGCAAATGGAAATTATTTTAGGTTTTTCAGTCTTATAGTTTCAAGATTAAATCTTTTTTCCTCATATTGAATTTTTCATATGAAAATATACTGTTTTGTATTAATTTTGCATTTTGATATTTATAGTAAAGTAATTCATGATTTTTTTTTTTTCATTAGCATTAAAATAACAGCAATATCTCATTCTGCTGTTGAACAAGAGTTACTGCCTATTGCTCTACAAGTTGCTAATTGCATAGAAAAATTGTATCCTGGAGGTAAAATAGCAGAAGGGGTAAGAGTTTCTTTTCACTGTATGATAAGCTTTTATTTCTTCTAAACATGTAAGATGTCTCAAATTTCCATTTATTAAAATAATTCAGCCTTTGATTAAAGATAAGGACACTAAATATTGAATCATATTTTAAGTTTATTTATTTATTTATTTAGAATGTTACACGGCAAATTTTAACTGACCTAGTCTTTGCTGTTCGACATCTGTTACAAGAAGTGTCGAATTTTCCTCGAGAAAAAGGCGAAGAAATTGTGAGTAATTTTATAAGAATTCTCAGTAAAGTTTATTATGAATTTGAGCATATATCAGGCTCAGCTTGAGAGTTATTTTATTTGTGCTGTATAAATTTATGCTTATCACAGATATTATTATTGAAATATTTTGTTTACTAATATTTTCTTCCTGTGCTGGTGCTCTTAATTGTGTAAAAAATTAATTATGTACCATATGTTATAGAACATGAAATTCTCTTTTAGAGAAAAGTTAAGTATGTATTCATTATACTGTGAAATAAATAATGTTAATGGTAATTTTCATGACTAAAATAGTAATTTTTAGTTTATGAAGTTAATGTTTGTATAAAAGTTATTTAGATTGTGTAGTAAATCATATTATTATCAATTATATTGATGAAAAATTTGCAAAGAAAAATGTACAAGTATTAAATTTATTCTTGCTTCACATTTTAGAAGGGGAAAAATAAAAAATATATTAATTGCTTATCATTATTCCATTCATATATTCATCGTTGCACCTTGTTCATTCTTTGTATTCAGCATCTTATTTTTATTAATGCGGAAAAAAAAGGAAGGTAAATGGAGGAGAAATATAAGGTGTTTCAAACACACAACTGTACTAATTAGCCTACAGACAGTTTGATTATAGAACTATGGTATTAATTTAGAAAATTAATCAAATAAAGTAGTGTAAAATTAGCAAAGCAATAACCTTGTGTTTGCTGTAGATTTAGTTAAGAACTTAATCAATTTCGAGGGCAAACAGATCCCTCTTCATCAGAAGGCAAGAAATACACAAGACTGGAAAGCAGTGGGCATAATGGTCATATTTATACCCTACAGCACAGCAGTAGAGCGAACGAGAAGATCGTGCCATCTGTTGGCAAAAATATTTCGAATAAAGTAGCTTTTAAAAGTACTATGATGTTCTTATAGAAGTCAGTAGAATTTAAATATATGAGGTGTGATAAAGGTGTATGAAGGCTGATGCCATATGGGCAGAGCAAAGCCATTCAGCACAGATTAACTTTAGATCATGCCACACAAATGCTGTAATTTATTGGGTCATCTAGAAAGTTCTGTAGTGTTTACAATAAATACAAATGAAGCAAAAATTTCATTCAGTCAGATAAGCACCATTTTATTCTCTGACCTTTTCGTCATCTATATAGTAGCTGGAAAAGTCCTTTTTTACTTCACTGTGCGAAGTAAAGGAAGTATTGTAATCATAAAATTTCGGGCATTCAATCTTGAAAAATCATGAAAAATTTCAACGAAAATATCCATTTTGACTGCTCTCAAATCCTTTTGAACAGTGTTTTTGTCTGATATCTGTACGTACAGACAGAATAAAGAACTTTTATTCAAAACAGATTTTAAAAGGAATTCAGAAAAAAAAATTTTATGACATCTGTATGTACCTGCATGCATTTGATGTATCTCGCATAACTCAAAAACACTGAAATTTCGGGAATAATACTGCTATAACATGTAGCTGTGAACTTCCCTTTTTGGTTGCAGTCAGTCGACATATTCAAAGAACTAATTAAAGAAAGTAATTTTCTGTACTTAAAAAAGCCTAATATTTCCACTAAAGTTGCAAAGTAAGAAAATGTTAATCTTTTACATGCCAATGTTCCTTTTTTGGAACATCATGTTTAATATTTTTTTTTAAATAAACTATCACATCTGTCAGTTTGAAAAAATTATCATTTATTATAGAAAGTATGATTGATTTTTTGACATAAAATTTATTTTTTAAATATGAATATTTCAGCGCAGAAAATTTTCTAAAGATCGGCTTTTTTTATGATTTTTAAAGTATTTAAGGAAAAGAATTCTATAAAATTTCTAAAAATTCAAATCCACCCAAACATTTCCCCATCATACTTGCAAAGGACAACTTTAATAAGTTAATGAAAGAAATTCAAATAATAACAAGAAATATTTCTTCAAAACTGCATAAAATTGACATGTTACAATATACAAAATCAGTGATATCACACGTATATTTTTCTTTATTAGATTTTAAATACATTCAGTGCTCGTACCTTGTAAACATGCCCTTTTATAGGGGCATTAATGGTGTGCCATTTATTTCTGTAGAAAGGAAGAAACACAAAGTATTTTTCAATAATTTTATTTTATTGCACAGTCTGCTGACAGGTTTGTCTAACAAAGGCTTTAAATTAATTGGCACAGTACCACCAAAAGAGATGAAAATTGCGGAATAGCAAAAGAGATATCAAAATTTGAACATGGAGAATTTGCTTACTGATGCGATGGAGAAGTTAATGCGATCCGATAGAGAAGTAAGTGCCATTGGAACGACAATTCAGTTGTAACTATTGAATCAAATTTCATCACTCACGAACCATTAGAAAAAGCAGACAGATGTGTCTGAGCTTAAAAAAAGAAAGTTGATGTTCTCAAGCGTTGCATTATAAAATTATATAATGAAGGAACAGGTGGAGTATAGCTGTTGGACCGACTTATCAGAGCTACCAACCAAAATTTCTGAGCAAAAAAAGGGTACTGGAACTTATTTAGGAACACACTGAATATGTTTGTGGCTGCTGGATGATCTTGCACACTGATTTACACAAAAACACCACATTAGAAATGACTTGCGTGAATTTTAGAAGAAAAATTTGAATTTGCTTCGAGCAAAACCTAAAATTCACATTATACCTGGACCCCGTGCCTATCAGTCGACATGTGCAAGAAAATCAGATGCACATTATATAGTTACATTATCGCAATGGCATTGTGTAGTGTGCCAAAAAAACACTACAAACATGTATTTTGAATGCTAAAAATTGCTCCATGTACACTGCTTCCTGTTATATCATGGACACTGAGAAATTGCTAAAAAGGATTGCAAAAAATTAGTGTTTTAGAATGTTTTATATTTTTTATGCTACTGATTGAAATCCCATACACCTTTTAAAGGATAAAATATTTTATTTTTTATTAGTAAGGTATTTTACATTTTTAAAATTGCATTTATTCATATTATGTATATTGTTAGTCAAGCTTGTGTAAGTGTACATTTTTTTTTTCCTTTACACTTTTTGCATTGCATTTATTATAAATAGTACACTAATTAAAAATTATGTAAATTTTTTAATGAATTTTACTTAAATTTTAGTAATTTCACATCATATTGTTCAGTAAACCATTATTACAGAATAAAATTTAAAAGATTCATTATACAATGCTTTGTTTTCATGAAGTGAAAAAAAAAAGAGAAAAGACAGCATTACATGCCAATGTTCCAAAAATGGAACAACCGGAAAATTATACACAAATTTTTTTTTACTGCAATTTTTTTGTTTTATAGTCTTTATGGGTGTATTCTAATGTGAATTCGATGAATTAGTTGACTTTTATTCGGGATCATGGTGCGGCATGCAAAAGCTTAATTTATTTAATAGATTAATTAATTAAAATTTTGGATTATCTCCTAGGAAAGAAGGGGAGAAATTAGAAATTGTGAACCTCAATGCTAGTGTAATAAAAATGTTTTAGTATAGTGTAAAGCAAGTAGAGAAATTTTTTAAGTATAATTAGAAAATAATAATTTAGAAATAGGATAATTTAGAAAAATGGTAAAAACTGTATAAAATGAAAATTTGTAAAAATGGGGAAACTAGTTAAAGATAAAATTTTTTAAGAAAAATTCATCAGTTATTGATATTCAATACATATACATTTATATGTGCACATACATATATATTTATGTAAGCACACACCTACTCTGTCACCCAGATCGATGAGCTCAGTTTTTTTAATCTTGTATGTTGGTAAATTGGCATTTTTTGCTTTAAATGTGATTGAATTGTGTTGTTTTTATATTCTGGTAATCTGTGTGCAATAGTTGTAGAATTATTGATAATTTCAAAGTTTAAGTAGTGCTAAGCCAAATGAGGCTGCTATTTGTGTACACTTGAAGCTCTCACTAGAATAGTGAATTAAGTTATTTTCTGCACCATTAGTGTCTTTTTGCCAAGTGTGACCAAAAGTTAACTTTTAATTTTATCTTACTGCTTGATGACCGAATATCTTGTTTTAGCACAGAAACTATAATTTTAATTGTAAAAAATCTCTTTTTAACTGTATTTGGTGTTTTATATTTTTGTGTATTTTGGAATTTTTAATGAAGCTGTTTTGAGTTTTTTATATGTTTTTGCTTTAGCGCAAAGTGAGAAAAGAATTGACTGAATTAGAAATCAATCTCTAATGAAGTTCAAAGGAATAAGTTTAAATGATATGCAGCAAAAATTGTGTATAATTTAACAGGCTATAAAAGGAAGCCATGTTGTGTTCATATCAGATATTTTTAAAAAAGTCCTAAGATGCATTTGTAAAGAAGTTACCAAGGTGTTGCTTGACAGTCACTAAAGTGGTGAACTTCAGGCCATTCAAAGAATTGTGAAGTGATTTGAAGAGATGGAAATCTAAGGGACAAGTTCTGATGAATATGGGGAAGATACAAAATATCCCAGCTATACTTGAGAAGTTTTTGTTTTGATGTTCATTGTATAGCTGAGTCAGTACTGTTATGTTTCAAGACAACATCTCAATGATTTATCAGTTCTGGGCACTTAACTTCAATTTCTACTTTTAAAATTGTCATTTGGGAACAATGTTTTTTAAAATTTGTCTCATATGGTGACAAGTATTTATGATTTACAATTCCTTTATCGAGTTCCACCATACACAAGTGAACGGGCTGGCTGCATGGGCATTTTCATGGTTTTCCCCATGTGTAACGTGTATACGAGCCAGTTTCCCTTAGAAAGTCCTCCACGAAGGCATCCGTCCCTTTAGGCAGAACTGCGCTGAAAAAATGGAAAAAAAAAAATTGTGCCACAATGCAAGCTAGAATAATGTTGCATGAGCAGAAAAAAAACTGTATTTAAACATCCATCTTTTGATCAAGATCATTCTTTATCAGCTGTACCAAAATAATTAGAAGAAAGTGTAATTCAATTAAAAAAATCTGTAGAACTTTCCAGATGACCCAATATTTTAGCTCATTTTACTTGTTATCACATGTGCTTTGAACAAACATATGAAGTATCTTGTCATCTCATTCACTATGGCAAAGATAATTTAGGCAAAGCTTTTATGGTACCTGTGTTGGGACAAGTTAACAAGTGGCTATGATATTTGAGGGTTCGCCAAGAGAAAGTGATGAGCTTCTTGAGAGACTCATAACAAACAAAACTTTAAAAAAATCAAAGAGGGACATTCAGTTGTAGAAGAAAAGTATCGAATCACTATCTGCAAAATGTCTGAAGAACTCAGTATTAATTATGGTCCAATTCAGGTCATACTTAATAATAGATATAATATGATCAAAATTAAGTGTTAATTTTTTTTTTTCTTTCAAATGGCGGGAAGTTTTGCCTTTTTTCGACCTTAGCCACTCCTAGGGCTGGAAGTGCTGGCCATTTATTTGGCCTAATAGGCAGCCACCATTACTTGCTATGAAGGGACAGGCAGTTACAACCATGCCTTCTCCAGGATTAGAACCCGGTCCTTTCGCTATCATAGTCGGCTTCCCTAACCACTTTACTTTTTGGGCGGCTGTTACAAAATTAAAGCATTCACAAGATTAAAGCTCTCAAGGCATTTTTTAAAAATTATGTTAATGTGCTGATGCTGATAGATTGTTTTGAGTTTCTTACATTTTTATAACTTATGCAAAGAATAGTCTTTAATAAAGTGTAAAATTCATCTTTTCAAAGGTTAAGTATGATGAGTTTCTTGTACATTGTTTTATGCTGATATTTAAAACTAAATGTTTCAAGAATAATTAATTCTAACAAATTTATTTAATAATTTGCAAACATGCATATATACTACTTTCCAGCAAATGGGAGATGAATTGGAAGATAGACTAACATTGTCATGCAGTCGTGTAGAAAAGGAGCTACGGAAATGTTTTGAAAATCAAGGCTGGATATATTTTCATAGTGATGAAGAAGTAAATAGATTATCAATTTCATTTCAAAATTTTACTTGGTGCAGTTTTTGTAAAATGTGAATAAAAAATTGTTTAGTGATATTTTACTCTTACTTGCCATAAAATTTTAATACATATCACCTAAATTATTATTATTATTAAGTGTTTTTAAATAGTTTGTGATAGCTAGTCTTCATATTTTTAATTTCTAATGTTTGCTCAAAGTTAAGTGTAAGGAATGCATGGTAGATTTTTTTAGTTGGCATGTGTAGAATCATATGTACATTTAATACCTGATGAAGTATGAATTTTATTACAGCATGCCTTTGTAATATTTTACATACTGTCTGATTTGTATTTGAGTTATTGAATTTTCTGCCTTAACTAGTAGATTTTCTGAAATTTCTTTCCTTTTAAATTCCTTTGTATATTTTTTCATAGTGATATGAGCTTAGTACTGTAGAAGTATGTTTTAAAAATTATTTGGGGATTTTATTCATTAGTATTTTAGAGCTTGACATATTATTCTTCTTAAAATGTATGGTTTTGTACATTAAGAGCACTTACTTGTAATCAATAAATTCTTTATTGTATTACATTACTTTTCAAAATGAAATATGGCATGACTTAGTCTTTGGGTGCCTAGTGTGGTTTTTATTTTTCTTGGCTAGACATAGCCTTAGCATGGAGCACATCAACCATCTGCATCTGCATGCAGTCTTTTCTACTGGTCACGACAACTTTATACTTTAAAAAAACTTTATCTCTGGTGACATTTGAATATCCTCATCTTGTTTGCACACATACTCTCTTCTTATACTTCTACTGGGCACAAATGTTGCATGCTGTAATCCAATCGATCAACGTCTCACTTAGCCTGTCAGCCAAGACCAGAAAAGGTACTACAGAGGCCTGTTCAAGCTCAAATTCCGAAGTAAGCAAGCAAAAAGCAAAGGGACTGATACATCTTGTCAAGGTGGTGAAGGGTGCAACAATACCAACACACCATGCGAAGGGTCTGGTTGTGGAACTCCAACCGAGGCTGCAGGCAGCCTTTGTGGTGATCCACTTGAATCTTCAGTACTAACATGGGGGACATCTGAGGTAGCACTGTGGTTAGAATCAATTCAGATGGGAGAATATAAAGACAGCTTCATCAGCCATGACATTCAAGGACCAGAATTATTGCATTTAGAACGGCGAGATCTTAAGGTATTTATTTACACCATACTGATTTCTGTTATTAAATGCTTTATTTTTAAAGAAATATTTTTATAAGTATATTTATTGGAAACATTTTATCTATTTTTTGTTTAAATAAGCTGTTGTATACATGCACTTGCAAATGCACTATTTTCTTTTTAGAAATAATAATTCTTTGAGAAAGTTTCTTTTCTTATATGTCTTAAAGAGACTATAGTAGAATCATATTTATTCAAAGTGAAGAGAACAATGCCATTTCAGTTAAAATGGGAGAAATATTTTCACCTCTCAGAGTTGATATATGTGTGTATATAGAATATGTGTATATATCAGAATACATATATGTGTGTGTGTGTATGTGTATGTATTTCATCTCTCTCTGTTTATATGTATATATATGTAGATGTAAAATATAAAAAATATGATGGCTTTGCTCTTCGTGAACACACAACCTTCAATTAATTTTCTGCAATCCAAGATCTTCCGTCTAGACCAGTACCTTTTAGAGCATTCGCACCTATTACATAACCTTTACTATAAATACTGAGTACGCGCCATTTAGCATCAGAAGCTTCTCTTCCCTGTGCTGCTAGGACCTATGTGCTACGCTTCTCATCTTTCTTTGTTATGACGCAGAAAGTCAAAATTTAATCATACTTAGTAACTCGTTATTGAATATGTAATTTGGAGAACTTCATTGAAAAAGGAAATTGATCTGCTATTTGAATTAAGTAAATATGTGCAATTAAAAGTGAAATTCCTCTGTGTGTTGCCATTCGATATCCTCCTTACCACTCTGCAAAAAGCCATGCCTGAACTTTGATGCTAACCACTACTATATAAATACTGAGTGCACGCCATTTAGCATCAGAAGCTTCTCTTTGTGTTGCTAGGACCTTTGTGCTATGCTTCTCATCTTTCTTTCTTTGTTGGAATGTTATGACTCAGAAAGTCAAAATTTAATTGTACTTAGTAACTCATTATTGAATATGTAATTTAGAGAACTTCGTCGAAAAGGAAATTGATCTGCTGTTTGAATTAAATAAATATGTTGTCAATAAAATGAAATTCCTCTGTGTTCGTCATGGATCCTCCTTACCACTCTGCAAAAGCCATGCTGAACTTGGATGCAGTGCACCCGAGCTAAAATCACGCATATATATCTATACACAATGAAATACAAATATATATATATATATAGAAGAAAAATAAAGAATATATAAAGATTAATTATCGTGTAAAAAATTCCCTTCTCTATTCTAAAATAGCAACTCTATTTGCACTGCGTCTTCAGACAACTATGTCATATATTCTTAAAGTAATTCTGATGTAAATTGAACTAAAACAGCCAATAAAATTTTACAGCAATATTAACTATCCAATCAAAATGCTTTGAGACCAAAACTAACTCAGTTTTGACTTAGATTTTACCTGCAACATGCCTGCGATCTATGCTTTGGCCTGGCCACACTGCAGTCTGTCTTTTCTTTCTTTCTTTCTTATTGCAAATTTATATAAAATGTAAAATCTCTTGGAATAGGCACAATTAATGTGCCAAGTTGATTGTTGCCGCAACATGTTTACTAAAATAAAAAATTAAGATTTAAATCTGCCTTTGCCTCCAATTTCCTAGTCATTATGGATCAACATTACTAAGCCATCAAAATTCCTGCTCCTGAATATATTGCATATATATGCATACAAAAGATAGGGTTCAAAATGAAATGATTCTTTGATTGATTATCCAACCTGAGGAAAATGGTGTAAGGCCTATTTATAGCATTGTTATATTAAAAGTGAAAATCTTTTTGAAGTCAAAGTTGGAAACTGAAAACTTTTTGTTAGGAAAACTAAAATGTTTAAATACTGGTGTAATCATTAAAATTAAAGAACAAATAAAAAAATTAATTAATCATTTCTGTTTGATGCTTCAAACAGAACTTGTCAAGAAGTAAGCATTTAAAATTAAACTGGGATGATGGATGAGTACTGAACAACATGTTTCATTCCTCTCGATACTGTGAGACTCTCAAAAGTGCTGCAAATTAATTTCCTGTTTGAAAAATTATTTCTCAGATAGTCTTACACTGTCAAAGAGCTACCCCTATATGTTGTTCTGCCCTTTTTGAATTAAAATCACAGAAAATATATATATACAGGGTGCATAGAAATGTCCCTTTAACCTGAAAATTCTTGCAAATGGAGAGAGCTACAGTTATGCATGTGAGGTAACGGTATAGTAAAGCAACTACACTCGACCTAATGCAAATGACAGCAGTACTTCTAGTGGTGAAATTTGAAAGATAGGCATTGCAAATTGAAAACAAAAAGAGACTGTGCAAAATATTCAATTAGAAAGTTTTAAACCATCAATTAATTAGTACGAAATGACATTTGTTTCACACACATTAGATAAATTCTCACCTGTGTACCCAAAGATGTCCACTGTTAATGCAGATGATTCTATTCTGCATATTCAAATTTCGGAAATATAGCAGCATACAAGTTGCAGATTGTGATATTATATTGTACAATAACATCTGTAAAATTTTAATTTCCAATGCATTTGAAATTTTAGTTTATAAGGTTTCTTGCTTCATACAAACAGCATAATCTCAAGTCTCGTTATAATGTCGATGGCAGACAATAACATTAACATTTTATCATTGCGTAATAGTTTGTTTTTGCGGTTTTTTTTTTTTTTTTTTTTTTTTTTTTTTTTTTTTTTTTTTTTTTTTGTGTGGTGTGTGTGGTGTGTGTGTGTGGTGGGTGGTGTGTTTATCAAACTGTATTGACATAAATATATGTTTTTCCAATAAAAAGGTGTGTATTTCTTAATACTTTTGGCTATTTCTTTCAAACATTTACACAAATTGGAGTGCATCGGTTGAGCACATCTTTGAGTATACAGGCGAAATTTATCTATCTGTAGGACCAAAATCATTTATACTAATTATTGCACTAGAGACAATTTCCAATAGAAAGTTCAATCTTTTTGTTTCAATTGCTACGTGTCTTCCAAATTTCGCATAGTCGCTTTACTATACCGTCACCTCACTTGCCTAGCTGTATCTCGGCTTCACAAGAATTTTCCGTTTAAGGGACTTTCCTATGCACCCTGTAATATATAATGTATGTACATATAATACATCTACAGGATGATTTAATTGTTTTTACAAATTAAGATGGGGAGAGTACTATCAGATGAGCAATAAATTACCATAGAAGAGGATCGCATTCCACTCGAGAGGAAGAAAAGAGGAATATTAGAATTCCAATCTTAACTTACAACAGTGTTGGGAGAACAAATGAATGAGACCAAAAGTTGCACAATCAGTTTAGTGAAAAACTCAGAGTGGATGAAATGGATAAAACCGAAAACTTAGAGTTCGAGTGTTAATTCGAGCTCAGACTTTCATGGCAAGCATTCAAATGCACCCATCTTTGGTTCGCAAGGTCTCAACCTTGCAAATGATTGCAACAAGTTAATTATCTAATCAAGGGTTGAATATTATCAACTAATTCCAAATTCCGCTGTATATCACGATTAGCATGAAAAGTTCATGCTGTGTTCTGGCTGTCAGAACTTCGTGTGCTGCAAGGTCTCTTCAAGTAGAATGAGTGCAGCAGAATTAAGCCCAGGAGGACAGGATAGAACATTGCAAAGGGGAAAAAAACTGCTAGCTTGATATCAAAGTATTAACACTCAAATGCCAAGTTTTCGGCTTTATCCGTTTTGTGCACTCTGGCGAGTTTTTCACTAAACTGATTGTGCAACTTTTGGTCTCGTTCATTCGCTCTCCTAATGCTGTTGTATGTTGAGGTTGGATTTCTAATATTCCTTTTATTGCTTCTCAGAGTGGAATGCGACCCTATATTCTATGGTAATTTTTGTCATCTGGATGAGTACTAGCACCCCTCTTAATTTGTAAAAGCAATTTAGAATCACCCTGTAGATATAGATATGTATTGCTATTAAATAAAATATGTAATGCAATACTTTTTCATTTGATCTTCATTTTCTTTCATTCTTCACAATTATTAGCAGATGAGATTATATCTGTGTTTGATATGTATGAAAATTATCTTTTGAACAGAGATTTCTTAATCAGCTATTTTTGCAGATGATGTATGCAGGGTAGTTAAAAAAAAATCATCTTGTTATAAATGCTTATTGCTGAAAAAAATGGATTTGGTACATATTTATCTGAGATGCATTAAAATGAACTTTAGCTATTCAAGTCTGTCACTACAGATACTATATATAAGATCTTTTCATAATGCCACATAGATTCCCTTCAAAGGAGCAAATGATAATGCTTTCTTCATGTGCACTCTAAATTTGCTGGATCTCACACCTTGGGTTTTTTCCGACTTTTATGGGATTATATTAAAGCTATTGTTTTCATGCTGCCATTGTCATCTAATGAATTCAAAATTTGCTTTATCTATGCTATTCAGTCAGTCACATCAGATATGCTTGGATGTGTGTGGATTGAAAAAATTATTGACTGGACATGTATTGTAAACAGATTTAACATAGAGCATTTGTAATGATTGACATTAAATTTGGATAGTTAAAATTTAATTAATTAATTTAAATATCAGGGGTAAATATGTACCAATTGAATTACATGCTGTAGTCATTTGCAGCACTTTTTTTAACTTTATGCTGTACAGTAGTAACTTTTTTAAATGTGTATTTACTTTAAAGGAATTAAACAGTAAAAAAAGTTAACTTGCAGAAAAATTAGAGAGATAATTGATTTTTAGATTCTCTATATCAGTGTTATTTTTATCCTCTGCTTTGGTTCAATGCAGTTAAGCAGGATTTTACTGTGTGTTTAAAACAATTTTGTCTGAACTTTGAAAGTAACATTAGTTCTTTGTAATTATATAAGTATTGCAAGGTTAAATTATAAAGACATTTTCAGTATCTATATTTTTCAAACAGTTGAGTTCTAACATCTTTTAATTCACTTACTTTATTACGTTTAAATAAATGTGAATTTAACTTTTTATTTATTATTGTAAACTATTTAATAATTATATAATTCTTTCCTTCAATAAGTACTAATGAATGTAACGTATTATTTGCTGCTGTGGTTATAAAAGAACTGAAATTAAATGCACTGATATCCATTAAATTAACACACTGACAAATATAAATTAAGTACCAGTATTAATGTAATTAATCACAAATTAAAAATAAGGCAAAGTACAAAAGAAATATATGCAGACTTAGTGACATAGATACAAAATAAATTGTAGGTATTAATAAAAATAAATGAATTATTAATATACAGTAAACTGCAAATAAATATTTACCTAATTTTCCAGCAATATGTACTATGTTACATAAATAAAGTTGAGTTTCTGTGTATTATTATTGGTTACTTTAATTATCATATTTAAAGTATTTTTTATCATATTTCTGAATCTACCAAGTAATAACTGTCCTGTTTTGTATGCATGAACTTTTATTCTAATAGTTGTTAGTAATAATCAAACTTATTTGCTTTTATAATTAACATCTTAATTGGTTTTTTGTAGTCAAATTAACACTGGATTATGTGTGTAGATAAATAAATGAAGGTTTATTAAGATCAGCCTTCCAAGTAGCTGATTTGAATGTTAACAAGTCGTAGCTAAGCAGGCTTATACATCTCTCAAGTCATGTTCTGAATCATTACGGTTACAGGGTCTGTTCTGAAATACAGTAGTACTGAACATTTAAAAAAAAAACTAGTAGAACTGAACATTTTTTAAAAAAAAATTGTTCACAATTTGACACATCAACTTAATAGTTTTCAAAATATGCCCCTTCTGCATCAACACAGTGTTTCCGGCGATTCTGCCAATCACTGAAGGCTTCCTGGAATGCTCTTCATCTTCCTCATTACGGGATCTTGAACCCTTTTCAGTCAGGGGAAGAGGAAGAAGTCTGAAGGAGTGGCATCTGGGCTGTACTTGTACTTGAAAGACTCAGAAAACGAGTCACCAGCTTCTGTCCAGCGATTTGTTGGATCATGGAGGCTCCATCATGACAGTGTGCCAAGCCACACCGTCTTTGCTGTTATGGACTTCCTAACCAAACCTGGCATCACACAGCTTTTCTAGCCACCCTCCAGCCCAAATGTTGCTCCTTCAGATTTCTTCCTTTTCCTGAAAAGGTCGTGAAAGGCTGGCACCATGGCTCAGTCCATGCCATTCAAGAAGCTGTAATGAGGAAACTGAAGAGTATTCCAGTTTCTGCATTCCCAGGGAGCCTTCAGTGACTGGCAAAGTCGCTGAAAACGCTGTGTAGATGCAAAAGGTGCATATTTTGAAAACTATTAAGTAGATGTGTCAAAATTGTGAATAAATTTTTGAAATAATGTTCAGTCCTAATACTACCAGAATAGACCTGTATATTTTAAACTCTAACCCTTGAATAAAACAAAATTTAAAATGCAGTTTAAAAAAGTTATGCTGGAATAAGTTAATCGTTTTATATGATATGCGTCTAAATTTATTTCCGTATATTACTTTTATGTTTATTTGAAACCATAACTTATATCAACTGGTCAACTTTTAAAGAAATAGGGATATAAATCAGCCAATTAAAATGCTCTAAATAAACAAGTTTCCAGAATGGAAATGTTTAAGACGTCAGTTAATTTTTATTCATTGTGTTTCAGCAGCATTAAGCATAAAGTAAGTAGAAACTCCCTTTTCATTTTTTATCTTCCTTGCAAGATTTTAAAATATATATGTTTGATCTGATTTCATTGTAATATTTGGCTCATTAGATGCCAGTGTTCAAAAGTGACTGAAGAGTGACAAGTGTTTCTTAGTATATAAATAACTGGTCAATAACTCACTTTAAACATATGTTAGTTTTATTTTTGATGCTGTGTACAGAGGAAAGGAAATTTGGAATCTTTTAAAAATAGTTTCTTTGGGGAAAGGAAGAGGATACTTAAAAAATTAATATATTAAAAAAATGTTCATGTATGATTATTTAGATGTTATGATACCCTTTTGTTTTTCTGTTATGTAATTATTGTAGTGCTTTTTTCTTGAGATGATGTTTAGGGTATTTCTTTATATCGCATCTAAACCATTTAATTCTTTTAAATCTGTTTATTGCATTATGCTTATTTAGTTTCCTGTATTATATATCAATTCTGAACTGTGTTTAATATTTTAAGCGAGTTTTATTTTTTTGTTTTTTATCTATTCTTTATATAGGAACTTGGTGTTACTAAAGTTGGCCACATCAAGCGGTTACTACAAGCCATTAAGGATATAACTTCTCATTCTATTGGACGTAAACTAGCTCTGTTATGATCAGCACTGTCCATTCTGATTCTTACAGAATTGTATCACGTGACTTTTTTAAAAGTATAGTACATTCCAAAATCTGTCCTTATTGATTAAATGCTTACTCTTGCCAGAAATATCTTGTGCTCATCACTGTTAATTATTGCAGTTCCCTTCTTACCATGACATGCATTATCTTTTAATGTTCGAAATTTTTTTGTTATTATGAGTATTTTATATCACAGAAAAGTATTTAAATTTCCAAAAACTTAAAGTATTTAATATTAAATAAATAATAATCAAATTTTATAATAGTTTGTGATGTTCAGGAAAAAAATATGATTTTTTTAATATTCCTATGTGTATCAATTGAAATAATATTTGCTTTTAGTCATTTCAAGAACAAATCCAGGTAATGTGTAACAACTGTGAATTTTATGCAATATTTTTTAAATAAATTTTAATGAGAGTAGTGGTAAAATATTCTTATGCTGGCATATACAAGTGTGTCTCAAATTTTGGCTATAGTTAAAAAATATTTTGCTGCTTAATTCATTATTTACTTGAAAAATTGCATTTTACTATGTGACTGCAATGTGTTGTTGTCTTTATGTACAAGGCAAAGAATCATTTCAAAATGACTGTCTTCCTCTAAAGTTTCTTTTATAAAACGTAGTATAAACAATAATTTAATATATAATTACATTCTAGAAAGCTTATAATAAATTTATATCTAGTTCTTTTATACAAATTCTGTTTTAAACATATCAGATGCGCTTCTGTAATTTTATGATTTTAGACTTTCATGTAAATAAAACATTTTAATTGAAAAAAATTAGGATGTTACAAATATTATGAAAAATTTATTTTACTTTAAAATGAGATTTACTTCTGGGTAAATGATACTTATATTGCTGCAGTATTCTTTTATAATCAAAATATTTAGAATTATATTCCTATTTCTAAAACTTTTGTAAAATATGCTGGTGTTAAAATTACAGTATTGTATTCATAAAATTTATGTAAAACTGAGAATGAAATTTGCATTCCCATTTGTATTTGAAATTTTATGGTAAGACTACACTGCTATTTTATATGATAAAGTTTGACAGCTCTCTGAATTTCAAGATTCTAAGTTAAATATTCTTTTTTATGATTCAGAGAGCATTATTCCTCTGAAACTGAATAAAAATTGATACATAAACTTAAATCAAGAAATAAGTTCATTCAAATATATACCTATTTTCAAAAAATGAAAGACTGACTATGAAATTTAAAAAAAAAAAAAATTGAAAACTGTGAGGAAGTCATTGGTCTTGATACAGTCTTTTTTCACCTCTGATTTCAAGTATAAACAATCACAATATATTTTATTACTATTTTCCTAGATGTTGACTTTTGAAATACATGCGAATTTTGTCAAAGAATTTTGAAGCTGTTATTTCCAGTTTCTGAAAGAGCATTTCTTGTGAACTCCATGACAGAACAAAACGTATTAACTTAACCAAATATATTGCCTTCAAGAAAGTTAGTGTTTTATAACCATGTGTATATATATACATTATATTTGTATGTGGAGTGAGTTACTGGTACCCATTGCTGCTTGTGTAACTCACAGCACTTCTATATTGGGGTCCAAGGCAGTGAAAAAGGTGGGACTATAATTTGTAATGGATTTTGAATATCTGGTGTTTATAGTAGTAACAGAGAAGTTTATGCAAGAAAAGTATAAATTCATGTAAAAAGTAAGTAATGAAGAATCATTCTGTTACAAATGATTATAACAAACAATGTGATTGACACATATTTACCTGTTATACATCAAATTAAACTGTAACTATCCGCATTTCTTGATAAACATTAAATTCTCAGCGCGAGATCCTTTTGTCCGATAATGTGCATCCATTATAGAGTATGTTTTAGTCCATTGACATTGAAGCATATCCAGTGTGACTGAAAAGCTAATATGAATAATGGATATTAAATTCATCAAGATTAGATTGCAGTGACATCCCAAAAACAATGTTTATTCCCAGAACAAAAGTTTGCAAAGTTTGCTATGTCTGATAAATTTGGAAACAAAGTTAGAAACACATTTGTCGTGTGCTCCTTTGGACTATAGATTGAATGTGTGTCGCCTGATAGAAAAAGATCTCATATAGAACATCTGTATTACGTGACAAAAAACTTGAATAGTCAGAGTTCAGCGTGATGTATCACTGGTACATATGCACCAATTTTACTGTTTGTTTTAATCATTGGTAATAGAATGGTTATTTTTCACTTAATTAATACTTCTTCTGTTTTTAATTTGGTTAATATTTCTTCTGTTTTTAAAGTATAAAAATAAATGCTTTAAATTTTAAGTGCCTGTACTAATGTGTCATATCATCTGAATTATAACTTTCGTGATCCAAAATTGAAAAACTTTGTTTTGAGGTATTATAACAATACATAATTTTTAAAAGCATAAATTAAGTTGTTCAGTATTTGCTTGATTAGTTTTTCACTTTGATTTAATCCTAACTTTTTCTAAGTACATCTTATACATAGTTGATTTTTGATTGCTATTTTAGCACTTGAATTAATTTTACTTCATGCTCTAATTTTTTTTTTCCCTAAAAGGGAATATTTTTTTGACAATCAAGATGTCAAAAACAATCCTGTAGACATAAAATGTAAAATTACATTAATTACTCAGTGCTTTTACTCTTTTATTTGAAGTGCCTGTAAATTATGGGTTTATGTGTCAATAATTGATTGTCATATTTATGCCTTATTCCATATTGTTTTTGTCAGATATTGAAAAAGTCGTTATACAGTCAAAAGTCGTTAATCCGGACTCGTCAGGACTTCGGCGATTCCGGATTTGCTTTTTCCAGGTTGATCATCATTAAATGATCTAAAGGGTATCCCCGTAATTTAATAAAATAAATCTTAAATATTTATTGTTTACTTTATTCAACATTTCTTTCAGTGTAAGTTGTTTAAAAGTGCCTCGTTTTATTGATAATACTTCTCTTTAATTCTATAAACAGACATAATTTCTTTTCAGTTACAAAGTTCCGCGTTCCGTTAATTGCTGTGCCGAGAATACTGACTAACTTGTCAATCGAAATTTTTTTCGTTTTCACTAACCTCTATGTCACATCTTCATGTCTTTATCCATTTTTTGCAGCAATTCCCCTTTTTATTTGTTGTAGACTTTCCTTTGGAAGGTCCAGCATCGGAAATTCTATTTGATATAATCGAAAGTTTGAAGTTTACTTTTAAAATTGCTCTTACAGTCTGCAAAAATAATAAGCGGGATCCAAGTCGATGATTAAGGAACAACGCAATCATTAACATTAACTGAAATAGATAATTACATAATTTTAGCTTACACCGTCCGTTATACATTAAACGCGCAAGCGAAAACGTATTCTGCACTTGCGCACACGCATATGCACAGTAGTCAAGGTCTTACGCGCACGCGTAAAACGCCTGTGCGCATGTGCCAATGCGGCGCATGCGCAGAAAGTTTTTAGCTTTGAGGTCCGGATTATGGGGGTCCGAATTAACGACTTTTGACTGTATATGTTCCCTTGTATATTTTAGTCCCACTTTGTCACTGGTTTAAGTATTCTGGCTGGTGCTGATGAACTATTAGTTGGTGTTTATCACTATGCAAATAATCGTGTTTTTGTTATGTATGAATTAGTGTAAACTATATTTAGTCTTGGTGCTACCTGGCTAATTCGTCCGCTGTTCAAATAACAAGCCTTTGTGAACCTACTGCACTAAGTACAACTTCACTGTATGTAGTATAATCAATGCCATTTTTAAGTATCCTACTCTATTGTAAACACATTTTATACTGATTATTGGTGAAGAGTTTGAAAATTTGTTTAATAAAGAAGTAAGAATTATATGCGAATATATTACTTTAAATATTATTTTATTGTATTACTTAAAAAAAAAAAATTTAATTAATTGTGCTTCTTTTTCTGTATTGATAGCCTAATTTTTATTAACACAATAAAACCTCTTTTTCAAAATGATAATGCTTTTTTTTCCCCGTTAAATTCCTTCTCAATACGTTTTTTTTATTTAAAATCTACTTCAAAGTGAACTGGATTACATTTTGTGTATAATAATAAATTGACAGCTGTTACATATTTATTTAGTTTAGGGTTTTAGTGTCTATGATTGTACAGAAATTAGAAATATTTTATTCTTTGTTATTTTGCTATCCTAAATTTAGGCATCTTTTCTAAAGATTTGTTAGTTTGAAACTTATTGTATTTGTAATGTATATGTATTTTTCTTCAAATTTTCATATGAACCTAAGAAACATATTTATCAGAACATTGAAAAAAAAAAAAAAAAAAAAAAAAAAAAAAAAAACAGAAATAATGCAATGTCTGTAATTTATATGAAAACTGGTAAATTATTTAATTATTTAGGGTAGAAGAGGTTTTATTATGAATAAAAAATTAGGCTTGAAGAGATTTTACTTGTCAAATTTTATTTTTTTAACACTTTTTCCCATTTGAAAAATAGGTACTTTAATAGTGCCTTGTTTTACTTGAATATTATTATGATATTGCAGAATTAACTAGTGCTTTAAAACAAATTTTGATTAAGAATATTGTAATGCTATTTGTAAATTGCTCATTTTTTAAATGTTTAAAATACTTTTCTTTAATTTATTTTGTAGAGGACATAACCTGTGCCTAAAAATATAGAATATTCTTACAAAAAAGTATTTAGCTCATATATAACTCGTAGTTAATGATTAAATTTATCTGCAGTATAGTTTCAATTATACACTTTCTTATCAAGGTTGAATTTAGATATGTTTATTAGTCATGAGATTAAAATTCTGTATATTATCATAGATGCAATGTCATGTTTAAATAAAAAAATTAAAGTTTTATACCTTAGATATATAGTATTCCTTGCTCTTAAATAAGTGATTTTAAAAATTATACACTTCCACTCCTGGTTGACTTTAGCATTTTTGCAGAAGAGTAGAACCTGATATAGTTTTAGCCTGTAACAAATTCTTATGAATTCTCTATATCATACATAAGCTTTAATGCAAAAGATGACTCTGTGCAGTGTGAAGTTGCATTTAATCATTTAGAATTCCATAGTTTAAAAGCTATTTTGCCCAATAATATTTTTAAAACACAAGTAGGCATAGTATATCAAATTTAATTTTGATACCAGAACATATCTGTAATGTGTAAGGCTTTTTATATCTAGAGAGTTTTCTTTCTTTTTCTACTGTTATTTTCCTGTGTGTGATTTTCTTAGCCAGAAAACAGAGAAGTTAGTATGCTGTGTGCTTCCTTATCTAAAAATTCTTGAAAATCTTCTCCTGATAGAGAAATAATGTTTTCCTATCATTTTTCAGTGTAATGTATGAGCAAAACTTTATTATAACTTTATCCCTTTGATCATTATGCATTGAATAAAAAAATGTAATTGCACCTCTTTTTGAAAATGTATGTGTCTTGTCAGTTTGTAGACAATCACACTCAGTGTAAGTAACATGTACTGTGCTATTATAAGCTTATATTTATCCTGTATATAGATGCCTTTTATTATTTTAATACTAATTTATGACTTGTGTAGTCAGTTTTTGTATGTACTTGTTCATATGTGAATTTCACATTCCATGAATATTAAGCTTGTAGATGTATATTACATCAGGTACTTACTTAGCTAGCTATGTTTTGCAAATTTGTTTTAAAATTTAAATGCACACTTTTTTTTTTAATTTTACATAATCACATTTAGGGGAAGAAATGTTAGTTTTTATATTTACATTTTATTTAAATCCTTTAGATGTTGTACAGGAAAAAGATTTCTTGTTTGTGAAAGTTTGGTGCAAAGTAGAGGAGAATGTAGTGCATAGTGATAGTTACAACCTGTGAGCTTGAGTCTCGAATCCTGATAAGTATTTTAGAAAACATTTTCTTTTTTAAAAGCAGTTATAATTTGCATTATGATAATAAAGTCTGTATAGAAAATGGATAAAGAGAACTCTACAGCTATGTGCGTGATACAGGTATAATGAAGGAAGTATGTATAAAATATTAATTTTTGTTTGGTTACTTTAAAAATTCTAAACTTGTGTTAATTTTGATATTTGAAAAAAAAAATTTTTTTTGCTCTATTTTATGCTGTTATTTTACATTATTTAATTGCCATTACACTAAAACACTGTTTTTTTAATCTGTTAATTGGAAAGAAACAATAGCTACATAAACTGAAAAATGAATTTTTTTAAATATATGTGAATTGATTTTGCTGTTAATTTTGTTGTAAGTACTGTAATTTCATACATTTATTTTAAATACTATAACAGAAGTTGGTTTACTTCATCATAAATAGAAGTTGAGGAAATTTCTTATACATTTTATGAATAAATCTTTCATATATATAATTATTTTTCATTTTCTAAATTAATCTATATCTATGTTTGGGGCAAACCTAATCTGAAAGCATTGAGAATTGTGCAAATTTTGTGCTTCTGCTGAATGATAAATTCTGTAAATATGCTTTATAAAAAAAGCTACTGTAGAGTGGAATAGATTTTGAATCTTAAAGTGATATTTGAATTTTATTAAAATCCATGCCCAATCTTAAGTTTTTTTTTCTTTTCTTCCTGTCTCATTTTTAATTTTATACTGTCATGTTTCTCTTCCAATTAGACTAGGAATCTCATTTAAAAAATCGATAGTATATCAAAGCAATATATAAATGGACTGTTATATTTTATATTTATTCTCTTTTATATATCTTTATGAACTCATAGTTTGACATCAGAACTGTGTTCACCAATAAATTATTCCCTTTAACTTACTGGATAGCTAATTTATTACAATAGCCCTATAAAAAATCTTAATTTTAGTATGAATTCTTATCCTAATCTTTGAAACTTTTCACTAAAATGTTCTTCTGCTGACAATCATTTGCTTAATTTTATTTTTTTCATCACTTCCATGTTGAAGCAAAGTATTTAAAATGAAGTATGGATTGGGTTCATTTGCCTCCATGCCATATACCTCTGGAAAAAAGATGTAATAATGAAATTGATCAAAAACAAACAACTTTATAATAAAAAAGGGCCTTGAAATTTAATGTTGATGCCTAATATGAATAGTTATATGAGCTTATGCACAGTAAAAAGAGTACCAATTTGGTTGCTCCAACTTTCTTAATATTCTCAGGTTAGGTATGTCCTAATTTTAAAACTATTGTTATTATCTGAAAAGTTATTTTATATGTAACCGTTCCATTCTGCATAGATTATAGAATGATGAAAGTCATTTAAAGAACAGATATGTTTAATTGTACAGAACTTAACATGTTTAATTGTACAGATATGTTTAATTGTACATGTTTCTCTGGTAAAATTCGGAGTTATGAAAACAACATCTATTATGAAAATGAAATTTATGAAAACATTATCTACAAAATATTGTGTTATAATCTATCTAAAAAATACATTTTAACTATTTAATTTAAAATGTATTTTAAAAATTAAATGTTAAATCATTTTAATCCTCTTATAGTGCATATGTTAATTTGTAGTTATTCATATTTGTTAGCAAGTTAAGCATTAAATATAAATTGGTATCTAATTTAAATTTTGTAGCAGAAAGCAGTTGATTCTGGACTTCTTGTGACTTATCTCAACAGAAATGTGATTACACCTGTGAATTTAAAATATATTTTTTATAATTTTAATTACATCCTTTAGATTTTATGTTAAATAACATTAAATGAAAAGAAGAAATTTGATCTTATGTGTCACCTATCAGTGTTTGCTAAGCATTCTTTCAATACTTCTCTCTTCTCGTAGGGAAAAAAAAATTCATTGGTG